TTTGGGGTTTTTTTCACTCCATTTTTGAACTGGGTTGGTAAGGGAAGTGTGTGACTTTGCCTAAGGGTGCTGCATGAGTTCCTGGGGTCAGCCACAATACAGTGGCAGGAGGCTGCTGGCTCTCCAGTGCATGTTTTCTCTATGGATTGGATTTTTGCCCTGTTATTTCCTCAGTGCCAAATGTCTGGGACCAATATTAACACTTCACCATTGCAACTGGAATAGCCACATCCCAGTGGGCTAACAGAAGCACAATGGCCAACATGGTTTAGAGATGTATAAACAGAATGAGTTTAGTAGGAAAGGGCAGAGTCCTTCACAAGAGCCAAGTAGCAAATTTGGAAAGTTCGGGTAAGCTGCAGGGTAAAAAAGCCCCTCTCCAGGCCTGACATGGAGGGAGCAAACATCAAATGAAGCACAAGGGAGGGACTGTTGTCCAAAGGTAAATTTATCACCTAATTCAATTAAAAATGTGAGTCAGACTGACCAAGAAATCTGAGTGACCTCATATTCACATCCTGCTCTTGGCTTTACATTTGCTGCAGCTATGTAAAATATGCAGGAGTAATTATATCCCTCAGAGGAAGACAAAAAAGATAAGTTCAGGTAGCTGATCTATTGAAAATGTATTATCTCAGGTGGGAACAGGGGGCATGTGGCTAACTGAGCCATTGGTGGTCTGAGCAATCAGACCATCAGCAATTCCCCAGAAAAAAAAGCCAAAAGCCCATTTCCCTTTGCAGCCCCCCTCATGCTGTCACCCGTCTCTTTCTCTCAAAACCCACCATAACGCCAGGGTGAGCTTTCTGTAAGGTCTCCATTCATATCCACTTTGGCTGCTGTAAGGGCACCCACCCCTTTCCTCTCAGTATGTATAGTACTAAAGAGATTTACCAGCCACGTTGAGCTCTGACATCTCTTTAGGTGTACATGACAAGAGTCAGCCACTGGAAAAAGAAGAAGAAAAGGTGCATTTAAATAGTGATGTTACACTAAGTATTCAAACATGTGTCTTGGTACCCTCAGGCTCTGACTCGATGACTATGGTTCTTTTGTCCTGCACAGGATAGATAAGGGGTTTTAGAACTGCCTTTTCCCCTTATTACAATTCAGACCCAGAAATACTTCCCATACGTTGCTTTCCATGATAAATTATTGTAGCACCTGCAGCAGGAACAATTGCTGAGAGAGGTTGGCACCTGCGTGATTGCAAGTAGAAGGGATAGCAGGGTTTAGGAAAGTGGTTATCCTACAGACCGTAACACAGGTTCAGGGCTTCTGCTTGGGAAATGCTCAGCTGTTGGTGCAAAACAGATTTAATGAACACTGAGCCACTGAACTAAGCACAGAATGTAAACAGGAGCCAGCAAGATCGTAGAAGGATTTTGTAAAAAATCTTTTTAAACACTGTGTTGTCAAATAACAGTCCCCAGACTGATAAAATGCAGCACTCAGGCATATCACTATGGAGCACAGCAGGATTTTTGCTTCAGACTAGCTGATAAAAAGCTTGATGGATCCCCATTCAGCTAGCTATCCTTCAGGCTGTGCTTTCAAGACAAACAGCAGCAGCAAGCATTCGTCTGCTATTTCCTTCTTAAAACCAAGATGTTCTGCAGTTCAGAATTAACAGATGGGGCAGTAAGAAATGAGGGCACGGATTCTTTTTTTGTCACTTCCTCAAAGTCACTTTGAGCAACGTTTCCAGCAATGACAGTCTGGGGTCAGTAAGGGACATGCTTTGGACATGGATGGCCACTTCCGAGCTGTGCTTACCCTAGCGAGGCTGCATGACAGGGAAATACCTCCCACCCATTAAGCACATCCAGCCAGGCAAAACCCTCACCACTGTTGGTGCCAGAAGCAAAACCCCCAGCAACATACATCACACATCACCTTTATCTAGCATACTTAGTGGCCCCACTTCAGACCTGGAGAGAAGGGAAGAGAAGGAAGGAGCACTCTTACCTCTGTTGCTGTCATCAAAATTTGTGATCCACCCTCTGCTAAGTTTTGAAATGCATCTAGAGATAGAACAAAGAAAATCTCATTTCATGAGGAGAAAACAGGAGTGCAATGCAGATGTAAGGCTGTGGCATCTGAGGAGCAGAGCTGTGATCTCTGTGCTTGGGATGCTCTGCCTGGCTCAGAGTTCCACCCACACTGCCCTTCCTCTGCACTCCTCTGTGCTGGGTACCCCCTCTTACTTGGCCCCTGGGATCACAGCCTGGACAGGCATCCCAATTGCAGGGCCACGATTCAGGAAAAGTGCAGGGATAGGGAGTGCTCAATGTGACTGCTTTCATCTCCTCCTGTAATATGTTCCAATTGTACCTCCTGCCTGAAGACCGACAGGAGAACGGTGAACTAATGAAACACATCTTCCCGCAGGGAAGCTTTCTGTTGGTCCTTTTCCATCCTCCCTGGCAGTGAGTGATCACAGTGTGCTCTAAAGAAACTGATTCTCTTCAAGTCATTAGTATGCACTGCAAGCTTTTTCCAGGGAATATAAATGCAGATGCTGCTGTTATTCAGCTTGAGTTGGAAATTAACATTGCTGAAAGTTTTCTGACAGAACACTTCGCCATCAGAAAATTTAAATCCATTCAAATATTGATATTCTATGTGCACATTTATATTGCAGTTGGACTAGGAGAAACGTTCAAACCCAAGTGTTTGGATAAAGTCAAAACATAGAATTTTGAGTTCTGATTATTTATTTTGAAATTACTTTTCTCCTAGAAATGTGCTGTTATAAACAGTAATAAAAACTTGGAACAAATTTAAGCCTGTCTATCCTTGAATGACACATTCCTCCAAAAGCCTTTTTCCCACCCTGAATGCAAAAGACATCGTAAGACCATGAACGTTTTGAAACCTGCCTGGCTTTAGACTAAAGTGCAAGGCTGCTGGGCGAGTGTAGGAAGAGATCACAGGCGTGCACTGCCCATATGCCCCTTTGGAGGCAATCAGAACTACCTATATGATCCAGAGCAGAGAGAAAGCTTAGAGGAAAGTTAACACAATGAAGCACATCCAGCCTTACTGCTCTGAAGAAAGGCACAGAACAAGGAAACCCCATGTTGCACCCAGCTCCTTGACACAGTTTGTATTTGCAGGGCTAGGCTTGCACCTAGCACTTCTTTCTAGGAACAAATGGCAGTGCTGAAATTGCCTCCTCTGGGTAGAGGTAAGTGCCCCTTTACTGCTTCATTAACTCCCATTAAATACAGTTTGCAAAGAAGCTGCTGCCTTTGCTTTGGGTCTCATCTCCAGCTGTCTTGAAAGGATGAGCAATGAGCTAATGGGACAGATTTTATCTTTCCTGCTGCTTTCACATCATCATAAAGGTGGACTGCCTTTTATTTCTACGTGTCACTCTTATCCTCTCCTGTAGCGATCTTGTTCACAATGATTTGAAAAGTTTGAGAAACGTATTCCACATTAAACCCTCTGTCAAGTGATAACTGAAAGAGTTGAGAGCATTTTATGATCCTCATTACAGACAGCAATGAAACTTCTAGAGAGTCCTTTCCACATGGATGTAAAAGAGTCGTCTTTACACTGGCACATTAGTAAATTGTAAGGACCTTTTTGAAGATCGATGTAAAATGCAAGAGGACCTTTCTGAAGATAAAAAAGATGCCACGGGACTAATTCAGGCACAAAAATTTTCACCTACAGCAAATGACATGTAAAATCACAAAGAAATGGATGTTTGCAAGTTATTTTTCTTTTAATGAAAGCATTAAAATCAGGACGTGCTCTAGCTTTATGAGCTGCTTCTGCTGTACTCCCTTGAAATGGGGTTTTAGGCAGTGTCATCTGGGCGGATCCATTGACCGCTATTGGCCCATCAAACATCAGTGGTAAAAACACATGGGAAATAATGAACGCTCATTTCCATGCGCCGCCGAAACCCAGCTCATTCCAAAGATGAACTAAATTGCTGTAGCAATGTTCTAGCACAGGGATCACAATTGCTGGGTTTGTTTAACTACCAGTATTTCCTGTCAAAATGCTTATTATTAGAGTAGTAAAAATTATGCTTTTGTAAAACAGGATTCCATTTACTTTCAGGCAAAGGCTTATTTACAGGCATTCCCTCCTTGCAACCACCAGACAATAGCTGCACACAACACAGGGCATGGGGGTTTTTATCCACTGAGAAGGACCTCAGACCCTTCTCCTTATCAAAATTTGACAGAACGTTACATAAGTTGGTGGGGAAAACATCTCTCCAATTAAAAGCAGAAAAAAAAACCCCTATTTAAAAGCACCTCCCTTGCTGTGATTCAGACTTTTCTGATTATCAACCACAGAAGAAAGCCTTCCACTTGAGATGTGCTGCCTTGTTACTCATCACTGGACATGAATGCATGCAGTCTCGCCTCAGTGGTACCAGCAATGCTCCACACCATCCTGCAGGAAGCTCTGCTGTGGACCAGGGTGCTCAAGCTTGCGTGGAAGGGCACCAGCACAAGGACACATCTTGGTTTTAGAAAATGAGTCTTAGTGCACAGGGGCTCTAAGGGCAAGCCTGCAGAGGCCTGGTTAATTCATGCAGCAAAAATGGATTGGCAGCTGAAGAAGCTCTGGATATCCATTAGCATCACAGGGCAGTGTGGTGTTGCTGCAGCCCACAGGCATGCTGATGAGCACTGATGGGAATCTGGGGGGCAACTTTCCTTCTGGCCTTTTTCAGCAAGGGCATCACTGAATTCCCAGCTGCTTTCTCTCAGCACTAAACCACTCTCTAAACCAGCCAGTTGCTCCTGTGGGTAGGAGACAAATCTGGCTTCTGGCAAATAGTCTGCTCAAAAGGCTGCCTGAACCATGGCTGGACTTTGGGGGCAGGTTTGTTATTTCCAAGCTATGTGTTGGACATGTACTATCACGTCTAGCATTATGTGCCGTGCATCCTGCCACTCAGTGTTGCTTTGCAAGCTCCCCTTTGCCACAGCCCCTGCCCACCCCCAGGCCCCAGCACCGAGACTCACAGGTCATGGTTTCAAGGCGCAGCATGCAGCACACAAAGTCAGAGAAGCCGATTCTCCTGGCAGCATCTCCGTACCGCAAGGTCATCAGGCGCAGGAGCTGATCGTTAGCGGACAGACCTGGGGAGGGAAGAGAAATGACAGCACTGGGGACACACTGTGGGGTGATGGACCACCTCTGATAGCATTGTGGCACCCTGCAAAGAAGCTGGGCCCTCCATCAGCCCCCCACCCTATTGTGTCAGGTCTCTGCATTTTGCCTTTCCCCCGGTTTGTGCATGAGTCAGGGTAGAGTGATGGAAAATCAAAGTTCTTCTAGTCACTAGAACTGTGGCTTCAGTCAGCAAGCAGGAAACTCTGAGCTAACTAATCTAATGTTATCTTGCTTTGCCTATTTAGCTTTTATTTTCTATAAGAAAGGGTGATTTTCTTTGGCTTACAACTGTTAAAGTCTGAGTGTAGCATTTACAATACCACTGCTGCTTTCTGCTAAACAGGGAGATACCACATGCTCATGCTATTATGCAGTACAGCATGCCTGGGATTCTTAATTTTTACATTTTCTCTTCTATTAGGAAATGGTGAAGGGTGCATTTCTTTTTTATTAGCTGGTTATTCAGAATTTGTGTCACAGCCTGTTTGGATGGAAATTGGTATTCAATTGAATGAACAAAAATTGCCTTTTAGAATGATTCTTTTATTAGTTAAATAAAACTACCCTAAATGTGCTGCCTGTATAAAAGGAATGATTTAAATATATTCTGTGCTAAAAGCTGATTTGCTAAACAAAAGAGAAATTTTCTGCAGAGAGCTGGACTGATAGCTTTGGTTTAATGCATTCTCTGAGACTTCAGAGAAGTCTCATTTGCTCACCCCTGGTTTTTAGTGGCTCAGCTGGAAGAGAAGTAGCTTTCCTGACTTTTCAACCAGCTCTAGACTTTTCAGTTTTAAATGCATTCATCCTGGAATTAAATCAGTTGAACAAGCAAAAAAGAATACAGTTTCTCTACATCTACGTAGGGGGAGATACACCCATGGATGTGGGTTAGTACATCAACAAACTCTGGTTGCATGAGCCTAGTCGGAGAAGGTCTCCAGAAGGAAGCAGACACGCGATGCTGAATGCTTAAATAATTACAATACGTTTGGTCCTAAGGTAGCATTCCTAATAAGAGAAACATGATTTTAGATTTTCTTCCTAGGAGAAAAAGTCAGTAATTATAAAATCTAAGTAATGATATTTCTTCTTTGAGCCTGGTTATAAACTGCTGCCAAGAACCACTGTAGCAGTGACCAATGAGTTCTATCTCAGTTTTAGCCTTTGGGAGGCAGTGGGAATTCAATCAAGCTCTCTCTGGAGACCAGATTTCAGCAAGCATTTCAGTGCTGCTTACAAGATGCTATAATAATGTCTTACACTGATAAAACACCGACAATTTGGCATGGGCAGGTTGGGATATGCTGTGAAATCTGCTCACCTGGCAATGTCTCTCAATTAACCTCGTCAGCAAGACCGAAGTGTCAGTCCTTTCTGTTCCCAAGATGTTTCAGTTATGTGCTGTTGTTTATTTGTAAGGTTACTCCTCACACCTTTTGTCTTCTATATTCCTTACTCTGGTTTTAGTCAAGCTTTAAAATACAGACTTTACGCTTCCCTTTCTTTATGATTATTATTTTGATGCATTTGATATTGCCAATGAGGGGTTTCTAAATACATCTCAGGGCAGCACTGCTGTTAATGCAGCTAGCCTGCTTTATTTTGGCAGAAAATTTGACCCATAATTACTAAGCTCTGAAGCATTAGGACAACAGTGACAATTAAGCACAAACCTCGGTCTTCTGCTGGGGAAAGCACAGCGCACTTTCAGGGAACAGCTAGCTAGAAGCTGTATTTAAATACATTAATGCCATTCCCAGAGGTAGCACCAACCTCCCAAACGCTTTCTGGGGCTGTCCACTCCTTCCTGCTTACAAGCCAGGACTGGGTTCATCCTAATGCAAAGCCAGATCCGAATGCAACTGTCTGGCTCAGAAGGTGGCACGAATGAGTTTATCATTTTCTTCTTCCCCCTACTCAGAACTGCTTATAGCCTAACACGTATTAAGTTTGTCATTTTACAGTGCCTTTTTATCCTTTCAAACAGCTGCACTGTTTTGGATGCCAGGACTCCTCAATGCACAATTTTCTTCCCAGTTTTACACTTTAGCACCTTTCTCACAGAATGGACCTGGCAGCTTCTCCTCTGACATTTGGCACATTAGAGCTGTGCTCCTCAGGCAGATGCTAATGCTCTTCAACCTCTCAGCAACAAAAAAATTACACATACATCCCCTGAGCTGATAGCTTCTATGGATAGAAATTCTGCATTGGGTTCCTCCTGGGGACAACACCCCTCCCGAAGCTCCAGGCAGCCAAATGGGAGCTTCTCTACTGTACAGTTACTAGAGGATTGCTGGCTCAGAGCTGGATTTCACGCACAAAGTCTCTGGAGAGATGACCCAGCTAAAATGCTTTACTCATATAATTCACTCAAATCCTGTGTTCAGTTCTGGGCCCCTCACTGCAAGAGAGCCATTGAGGTGCTGGAGCGGGTCCAGAGAAGGGCGATAGAGCTGGTGCAGGGCCTGGAGCACAAGTGCGATGAGGAACGGCTGAGGGACCTGGGGGGGTTAGTGTGGAGAAGAGAAGGCTCCGGGGGGACCTGATCACTCTCTACAACTGCCTGACAGGAGGATGGAGCAGGAGGGGGCTGGTCTCTGCTCCCAAGGAACAACAGATGGGACAAGAGGAAATGGTCTCAAACTGCACCAGGGGAAGTTTAGGCTTGGTACTAGGAGCAATCCCTTCCCCAAAGGGCAGTCCGTCATTGGAACAGGCTGCCCAGGGCAGTGGTAGAGTCGCCATCCCTGGGTGTTCACAAACCATGTAGACGAGGCCCTCAGTGACATGGGTTAGTGGTGGCCTTGGCAGTGCTGGGGAATCGCTGGACTTGATGATCTTAAAGGTCTTTTCCAACCTGGCTGATTCTATGTGGAGGGCTCCCGTGCACGCACTGCAAGTCACAGCATTCATGTAGCCAACAGAGGTCAGTGCAAACTAAATAAATGTGTGTCACTGTGGCTTTCCCTTACAGACTTAGTCACTGCCCTGGAGAGGAACGGCAGGAACTGGGGCAAGTGCAAGCATCGACTATTCCTTGCTCCTTTCTTCTGCTGGATGTTCTGTCTGTCACCTAGAGAGACTATGGATAAGCTGTCTGCAGGCTCTGGTCAGTGCTGTGCTTCTCTGCGTCTCTGCTGGCTCCTAAGTGCACTGCAAAGGGTTTCCCCCTGAAATGAGCTTTGTCTCACTACAACAGTGCAACCTTTGAGCAGAGTTGTGATTTAACTAGCACCTCTGTGCAATCCAAACGAATTTCTTCCTGATGCTCTTTTTTCTTTCCTTCTTTTTTTCACCCTTTCCCCCACTGCAACAGGGACAAGAAATGGAGCTGCTCAGCACCTATGGCCGTACCTGCTGCCTGTATTGCACTCTTCAGTTCAAACACATCAAGAAACCCAGAATGATTTCTGTCTTCCTTGCTGAAGATATCCTAAAAAAATCCAGAAAAAGTCAGATTTCACACTTTGACTGACAAAAAGACATTGTCTGTAGCACATCAAATAAGCCAGGAGTCCCCGGGACCCAGAATGGTGTGGGGTCATCTTTCCCAGCACACCACTGAAACCCCACAAGCCACACTTGAGGTGCTGTCAGGGGGAAAAGCACCATTGCTAGATGTGGAATTGGCACCCCATGTCCTAGGTCAGACCATCTCAGGAGGGATGAAACAAAGTAGAGCCCACCCAACCCTGACCGACCCTAAGCATCGAGCTACTGTCTGCACTGCTTTCAAACCTAATGCCTATCCCAGAGCAGAGACATTTCTCCTAAATTTCACTGGATCCTACACATTTCCACTACAAACTGCAGCGATGAGGAAGTGACATTTTTCAGATTTCTCCATTCAAGAACTCATTTCAGCTTAGAAAACTTTTAAAAACATCGGTGCTGGTGGCACACAGACAGAGATTTCCATCAAACTCTCAGTCTAATTGGCCTTCCTACCTTTTCCCACTTTTCCCTCAACATTCCCTGCACTAGAAAAGCTTTGGCTGCTCGTATGGAGCACTTTACACACACTGCTGCTTCCCGAGCCCTCAGCCTTTGCATGAGAACAAATCTGACCCCTAAGCAATCAACATTTTCCCCCCAGTGCTTTGATCTCACAGAACATCTGCGCCCTGCTGATGAAAAGCCCAAGGGTGCTGTATGAGCAAAGAGAGCAGCCCCCATGTACCATGTACTTAGTGAGATTTCGCCAGAGGCTCCCGAACTCCTGCAGCGTGAGTCGGCCGTTCGAGTTGAGCTGTGCATTTCGTTAAGAACTGAGCAGTTAATGAGAGCTAGACCTGCCTGTCTTTGTTCCCAAGGATGCTGCCTTCACATAAAGCCAGACATAAGGTGCAGTCTCTTCTGACTGTTACTTTATGTTGAGAAAGTCAAGAGCTTTTCTGCTCTCAGTTATGCTCAGAGTTAAATTCAGCTTCTTTGGCACATTGTACAGCTGCCCATACGTGTGCTCACACACAATGAAAGGTTTCTATTCATACAGCACCTTTGACCACAAGGGAACCTGCAGCAATCACTTCAGTTGACATTTAGCCACCGAGCACAAAGGTCCATGTGGATGAACACGACCCCCTGCTCCAGGCCTTGTGTGTACATTGCCTTGCCTCCGTGCATAAGGCAGCATAGTATTAGCTCCCGCTGGATCCTCCTGGAGGAAGAGGGACTGAAGGAGCCAAAAGCATGAAAAGCCAGTTCCCATTACTGTGGTCAAAGGCACCAGCAGCCTTTGAGCCATGCATATACCACACATGAGAAAACACTTCCACACCATGAGCTGAAGGAGCCCCGGGTGTCCGTAGACATCCTCCAGGGATGCTTGAAGGACTATGCCAATGGACCTGCTCCCCTCCACGCACCATCTGGGATCCCTGGGCAGATGTGCACTTCACCTAATACAGCTGGGATGGTGAAAACTCCCTGAAAGCAAAACTCATCACCAATGAAATAGAAGCAAATAAGTGCCAATGCTATGAAACCTGAGTGAAAAAAGCTCATCCTGTCTTTGCAGGTCAGGATAGGTCACACTGTACACACTGCACAGAGAATGAAAATCCATCTTGAATTAAAGCAGAGCAGTGGCTTTGTCAGTTCTTTGCATGTGCCGTGCATTCACAGCATCCATTTAGCCCAGGAGGGGCTCTGGAAAAGAGGGAGAAGTCTCTTTCATTGGTTAGATGCAGAAAGCTGGAAAGAGAGAGGGACCTCTAGCCATTTTTATTCATTCCATGGCAGTTGGCAAAGGTCTGAATAGGTCTCAAAGTTATTTCAAGAGATAATGAGCAAACAAGGGGAAGAAATTATGTTTTCATCAGGGAGCTCTCTTGTTCTACAATGGCCAGCAGTGTATTTCCAGTTGCTGTGGTTTTGGCTGGGATAGAGTTAATTTTCTTCCTAGTATCCGGTACAGTGCTGTGTTTCAGACTTAGTGTGACAATACTGATAACACACTGATCTTTAGCTGTCGCTAAGTAGTGCTTACCCTAAGCCTTGGGCTTCTCAGTCGCATGCTCTGCCAGTGAGGAGGGACACAGGAAGCCAGGCGGAAGCACAGCCAGTACAGCTGACCTGAACTAGCCAAAGGGATGTTCTGTACCATATTCTATACCATAGAACGTCATGCTCAGTATAGAAACTGGGGGTGTCGGCTAGGAGCCACTGGTCACTGCTCAGGAATGGGCTGGGCATTCCTCAGCATGTGGATCACATGCATTTCCTGAATTTTATTCCTCCTCCTTTCCTATTATTATTACTACTATTATATTTCACTTAATTTCAATTATTAAACTAAATCATAAAACCGAACGGTGGGTTCTTAACTCAACCCACAGGTTTTACCTTCGTCCACTTCTCCTCCCCATCCCACCTGAGGGGAAGGTGGAGGCACAGAGTGAGAGCGTGTCTACGTGGTATTTAGTTGCCAGCTGGGGTTAAACCATGACACCAGTCTTGTCTTGTTAATGGTTACAAGATCGTGTGGTCCATCTAAATAGGGAAGGTACATTGGAAAGGATGAAAGGCCTGCCAGACAAGTGCCTGTGATCTGGCAGTGACCGTGCTTCTCCTCCTAACACCAGCCCTGCTGGCAGTGCTAGCAGCCTGCTCAAGCTGCCATCCCAGGCCACTGTCGTTGCAACCATGATGGAAGAGCTGAGCTATGCCTGAGCTCTGTGCTGTCTCCTCACCTTGGGCTCTGAACCCACGGGTGAAGCTTAGCCAAGCCCTGGGCCCTGCAGAGGGGAAAACAAGAGCAAAGTTAGCTGGTAGCAGAAGGTTAACCCTCACTTTTTAGGAGACATACCAGAGATAGTGCATGCATGGCAAAGTCCTGCATAGACTCTGGGACAGTTATTTATTGAGGACTGTGTCTAATATTTACTTGCAGGTTCTCACACTGGGATGCTCAGCTCAGCCATAACTCAAGGCAAGGATGGGCAGCACTGGGGAAGTTTATTGCTTCTGCTGAAAGGATACATCCATCAGAGCTAAAATGCCTCTGCATGAATCGAAGCTGAATCCTCCTCCCAGGCTGGTCATTTCATCTGTAAGGATTGACAAAACAGAGGAATTAGCAAGAGCAAGGGGGTGGCAGAGGCATCAGGTC